ATCATCAATGGCAAATCGAAGTCTAAGAAATTCCTTAGAGGAGTAAACACCTGTAAAGATTTTGAAGTGGACTTCCTTGGGTTTAGGAGGACTGGGAAGATTTAAATAATTTGTTCTAATTTTAACTCTTTCAGACTTGGAAAAGAAATCTGATAAAAAAAAATTTGGATGTGATACAAAAGGAAACAAAATACTAGTAAAGCATTCCCTAATTTTTGAGATTTTTTGTTATCTGTGATACTGTGCCCATTAATCAGAAGTCCAGGTAGCACAGGGGTTCTGTAAACAGGGTTCAAATAAAAAACCTTTAGCTTTGCATAAAATATTTGGGGGAATAGCTCTAATAATCTTTTGAAATTCACCTTTGGTTATCTGCAAGTTATATTTCATTCTGAAGTCTTCATAAGACATAATCCCTCCATTATTTAACAAATGCATCACAGACCAAACACCTTGTTCTAGCCAATTACATGCAAAGATTGATTTATTACTCACTTCTATGTAACGGCAATTCCACAAGGGAGTATTGTGTGGGCTGTAGTTATGTTTATAAATTAATCTCCGATATATTAAAATCTGCTGGTGAAAGAAGGAAAGTTTAACGTTTTTTTTTATATCAGTCACATCTAAGAAGAAAACTAATTCCGCCCAGGTTTGAAAATATTTAACTTGAAATATGGAACCATAATTGATTTTGATTTATTAAAAAAGACAGAAGCCAATTAATTTTCAAATTGTTTAATTAAATTACCTTTTTTGATATAGTGAGTGTTTTGTTTCCATATAAAGTCAAAATTCATCCTGTTGATAGATTTGATTGCTGAATTGGGTATTCCTAATGTATATGCAGGGTAGATAGAGTCTGGAAATACTTTCCATTTTGGTTATAACAAATCTTCCCAGAATAGATAAATCTCTGTGTGCCCATTTATTTAAATGAGTTTTACATTTTTTAAGTTTCTCCCAAATATTCAAATTTTCTAAGTCAGATTTTTTTTTTTTTATTTATATGCACACCCAGATATTTAACACTGGATTTTATAGGAATATCAAAAGCAGTAGATATTGGACAGTTTTTTAGAGGCAAAATTTCACATTTCTTTAAATTTAATTTAAGTCCTGAAGGCTTTGAGAATGTTTTAATCAATTTAAGGATTTTGGGAATTTCATTCAAGTTATTTAAGAAGATGGTTGTGTCATCTGCTAGATGACTAATAGAAAACTCTTTGCCTTCCACCGATAATTTACCAAACTGAGCGTTTTTAATTGATATGGAAAGCATTTCTGCAGCAGCAATATATAGCAGAGGAGAAATTGGACAACCTTGTTTTATACTTTTGTTGATGCTAAATCTTTGTGAGGTACCATGTTGAAGATCCACTGAATGCTTGTATCTTTATAAAATGTTTTAATTACATTAATAAATTTAATTCCAAACCCAAATAAACCTAAGGCTTTGAACGTAAATTCATGTTCTATCATATCAAAGGCTTTATAAAAGTCTAAAAATAATACAAAGCCTTCATTCTCAATTAAATGGTTATAGTCAATTAAGTCCAGAATAAGGCGGATGTTATTATGTATAGAGCGACCTTTTATAAATCCAGATTGACTGTCTAAAATAATTTGGGATATGCCTGATTTTAACCTGTTTGCAAAAATGTGGGTCAAATTCTTGTAATCATTATTAAATAGTGTTATCGGTATTAAATTATCAAGAAGTGTTGGATCTTTTCCAGGTTTGGGAATGAGCGTGATGACACCTTGTTTCATTGTGTGGGTTAATCAGCCGTTTTCTAATAGTTCTGTAAGCATTCCAAACACAAGGGTTCTCATGTGATCCCAAAAATGTTTATAAAAATGACTTGTTAGACCATCACAGCCTGGAGCTTTGTCCTTGGATAAAGCACCCAAAGCTTTATCCAATTCCTCTATGGTAATGTCTGCTTCACATATCTGCTTAAAATTGTCATCAATTTTTGGAATCAAGTGTTGAATAAAATGATAGAATGCTTCTGCCATGGAGTTATTATATGCAGAAGTATATAAATTGCTATAAAAAGTAAAAATTTCTTTGGATATTAATTTCGAGTCAGGGCATGGTTCATTATTAATTTGCAAGTATTTTATTGCATTTCCAGGAAGATGGCGAACCGGAAAGCCAGATTCCTTTAAGCTTGATACATTAATCCCAATCTGATTGTTAAGACCTCTGTTTTTGAGCACCAAAAGATTACTGAACCTACCTATATATTTTATTTCTTTGTAGTTTATTTGTTTTTACAATCTTTCAGCCAACAAAAGATATGAAAAGAGAAAAGGCCGATACTGTGGCTAAGCTAGCGGTAACCACCAAGATGTGCTCTCCTATCGCTGACCACGAGTATGCGAGTATGTATCAGTTGGATCAGTTGGATCAGGAACCGCCACAGATGCAATCAGAGTGAAGCAAGGACCTGGACGAAGACTCGTTGATGTCAGAGCTATCCATTGTCTGCGATATTCAGAGAGATGTAGATCAATTCGGGTTGCCAGGTCCTCCAGCTGTTTCAGAGTCTGAGGATAGTCACAGGTGGAAAGTTCATCCTTTATCCTCTCATTAAGACAGGAAATAAACACGTCCATGAGGACGTCCTCATTCCAGGAACTCTCTGAAGATAACAGTGGGAAGTCTATAATGTCTAAGTGACAAAGCTTCTCTACTGGAAATAACTGGGCATAAACTTGGATTAGTTCCTTGAGAAAAAGAGTTAAATATACTAAGATTGTTCTGCCATTTAGCAGTTCCCCACAGCTTTGCTCTACCAGCTAGTGGGCTAGAAGTGAGATAACCTAGGCCACCTTGGACCTATTAGAAGGGTACTCCGAAGGCTGAAGCTCGAAATGCAGTTTTGGGGAAATACACATATGTTTACAAAAGCGCGGCACTGACCAGGATCACCATTCAACCGTTCAGGGGGTGAAAGGGGGCTCCTGACCAACAAGTCTGAAAGTAGATGACGAAGACATGACGTAGACATGGAAGCTGTTGTGGACGAAAGCATGGGAGAGAGAGTAGCCAGACAGTGCAAGTGTGTTAGAAACTCCCAATTGCCTAATTCAAGCGGGGAAATAGAATTTTCAGGAGCCCCCTTTCACCCCCTGAATGCCACTGGCTGTCCGCCGATGGGTCCATGTATGGCCAGATCATTCTGTCATGCTCAGAACAAAAGGACCCAGTTTTCAAGGAAGAGAGACAGTTAGGATTCACAAAATCTTTATTTAAGATGGACCTGTAGAGAACAGCAATGGTGTTTAAGGTAGGAACCTCTGCAGGAGGAGTACACAGGTTAGTGACCACATCTATCTGGCAGAGGATGATAATGAATGTGTGAGTCACTAACCTGGTCTTAAAATCCAGTCCATACCATAGAGGAAGAGGTTGGTTCCAGCCGGTCAGCTGCCAACAAGGACCAGATTCAGTTTACAGGAAGTGTGCAGCAGGAGTCGGGGGACAGGTCAGGCAAACAGATCAGAACAGGGATGGGCAGGCTCAGAGGTCCAGAGGCAGAACAGGTCAGCATCAGGCAATCAGAAAAACTCAGGTACGCTAGAGAACTCTCATCAAAGGCCTGAATAATCTGGCACTGATGACTGGTTAAAGGCTGGTTAAATAGAGGCGGAAGCAGGTGGATCAAAAACGGTAATAAGAACTGGCCGGAGCTAAGCAGGGGGATGAAATGAGTAATCAGGCCAGGCATCAGCACCAAGTGTCAAGGCTCAGAACAAATGACCCAGAATTCAAAGCAAACAGATCAGCAGACTTCTCAAAGGCATTTAGTAAGAAACGTATCTGCAGCTAGAGCGTTTAAACCCGGAATCTCTGCAAAGGGAAAACTGACTGATCTGATGGAGGATGATTGCGAATGCTTGAGTCGCTGACCTGTTCTTAGAGTTCAGTCTGTGCCCAGAGGAAGGAGGTGATTCCAGCCGAATGGCTGCCAACAGCACATGGCGAATGCCACCCAGAGAGTTCCAGGAATTGAAGCCTTGAAGACTGCAGAACTGGATGATTAGCAGATCTAAGCAGATGAAGGAAGGCAGGACTTTCAGGATGACAAAGCCAAAGCTGGTGTCTAAGAGGTTCACAGGAGTCCAGACCAGAAGATTAGAGATCCGAAGAGATGCTGAAGGGATATCCAGGTCAAAGTCAGGAGGCACAATCCAGATTCAGTCCACGGTTGGAATCCAGCAGGAGTTCGAAGACAGGTCAGGCAAACAGATCGGAACAGGAACAGGCAGGTTCAAAGGTCCGAAGACAAAATGGGTCAGGATCAGGCAATCAGAACACAAACAAGTATGCTAGACAACTCTCACCAAAGGCTTGCATAATCTGGCACTGATGACTGGGAGCAAGAAGTTAAAAGAGAGACTAGAGCAGGTGACACAGATGAGGGGTGATGAGAAACTGGTTAAAGCTAGACAGGTGAATGGAATGAATCATTAAGCCAGTCATCAGCACCAAGATCATGACAGAAATATAGAAATGAATGATCAAAAGCACTAATAAATAAATGTAAAAATATGAGAATAAATTAATTAATACATTAATGAATAAATACATTAATATATAAATGAGTATATGGTTTCAAAAAGGATCCAATTATTCATACTCAATAATTTTAATATTCTTATTCATTTCTGCATCTCTCCTCAGTTATGTCCGTTTTGGTTCTCCGTAAATTTTGGGCATCATCAGAGAAAAAACCTAAAGTCCCTGAGCTCCATCACAGAGGCAACGTAAGGTACAATCAGAGAGCTGTAAAGCTTAATCATCAGCAGCAGAGATTTGGGAGCAGAGTGAACTCTGTGTCATTGGTCCTGTCTTCTTTTTTTTTTTTTTTTTTTTTTACTTCCTAATTTTTATTCTTCATTCTGATAAACCTGGAAACAAAAGCTTCAGCTTGTTTCTTTTAAAGCCTTTTTGGAAACATAATAATTTTCATAAAACTAATTCAACACCTGAAGACTAATCTTGCAGCAGGTTGCTTTGCTGATGTGGTGTGGTAAAGAGTAGAAGACATGTAAAGAGAAAATTACAAACACATCATGTGATACGAACATAAAGGTGTTGCAGTAAAATGAGGCTGGTTACACAATAACAAGACTGTTTGGATGATAAACTTTACAACCTGCAGACTGGGCTGCAGGTTTTTACAAGTACGTTTTATTTCTCACAGAAATGAAACCATGAAGAATACTTCATAAACATTTAAAATACATCCTGACCATAGAATATCAATAAAAAGCTCTGATAACCTTGTTATCAGAACCTTGTTCTGTTCTGTGATGATCTGCTTGTTTGATTTCAGTGCATTACAACTTGGAAATGTAGATTAGAAACCCTCCTCCTACTTCTGGAAAACTGAAACCTAAAGCTGCTTTAAAGCAGTAACTGCTTCCTACAATCATGCATTTTGTGTCAAAGTCCAGAGACGACAGCTGCTTTGTTCCATCATGGCTTTCAACCAGCCTCCCTTTTACAACCCGGTGAGTGGACTCAGGTTCTGGTTCTGTTTGTTATTCTGAGGCTCAGTCTGGGAGCAGCTTACACTGTTTTATGTTACCGTTACTAAAACCAATTTGCACCTGCTGAGTTCTGCTTCGCATCTGGGCCAATATGCCTTTAATTAGCTGTTCAGGCTGTAAAACTGATGAAGGCGGTTTTATCAGAAATGTTGCTTCTTGCAGGACCAACGTTTTTTGTTGGTTTTTTGCATTTTTTTCCTCACCTCTAATCTGACATAGACGACTGAAGTCAAGCCAGCCTCTATTTTGAAAGGGACCATCACACCAGCCCTCTCTAAGTTTTTATAGGTCACACATACACCATGAATGGCAGTAACAATAGTTTGGACTTTTCAAAATACAAGCGACATGTTTGACATCCATTTACTGGAGTCAGTTTTCATTTATACTCCTCTGGTTTTGAAATTATTTCTCATGTAATTCTGTGAAAATGGATATGATTTAAGTGGCATTTTTGCTCTTTATTTTAGTCACTGTTGTATGTAGTTCGATTGTTTTTATATCAGAATACCTACTTACAGTACTGTAGCTCAGCTTCCATGGATTTTAAATAAAAAAAAGTGTCTCCCGTTAATATTAACCAGTGATAGTAGAAGACTCGTAATTGCTGCTTAGCAAAGGTCATCAAGATCTGATGCTGAGTTTCAAAATTAAAGCCTCTCAAAATCGAAACATTTTCTAAATTTCTAGCCTTAGGTAAAATAAATTAGTATTCTGAAATATTGAATAAACAATGTAAAAAAAATAACTAAAATAAAAGAAACATTAAAATCATTCTCATATATTCATATTCACAGGAGAACGTAAGAAATACATTTTAGACCAGATGGCTATAAATGATCACTGACTCAAGTTGATAAAAGTTAAACATGTTGCTTTTATTTTGAAAGGTCCAAGCCAGCGTTGCTACCATACTACATGGTGTATGCCTCACCTATAACCCAGTGAGGGCTGGCTTGACTTCCTTCATACATTTATTGAAGATGTATTTTGGCTGTTATCCTTTTTTTTCAGTTCTTGATCTTCTCTGAACTTTTCTGACCTTTTTATGGATGTCTTTTATTTCCTGTTTCTTTCTCTTTTTTTTTTAGCACTAGACACTTTTTATATAGGCTGACTTTATATGAGTTGAAGCTTCAGTTTTTCATATTTGGATTTTGTAATTTTTGGGTTGGTGAGTGCTCACAAGAACCAGCTCCACTGTATGGACCATCAAGAGGTCAAGAACAGATAGAAACCTGGACTGATATCACCCTTACAAGAAGAACACATGGAGAATAAGTCGTGATGATTTAGTTAAAAAATCAGTTTTTTTTTGTGTGTCAGAAATCTGTTTTCATATTTTAGAAACTGTTTTTCTTGCTTATTCAGTCCAAGAATATCCTAAAAGCAGCTTCAGAAACCCAGAGTCAGGTCCATAGTCTGTAGGAAATAAAAAAAAATAAAACCTGACACCTGACTGGTGAAGCTTTCATCTCTCATTTTATGACATATCATGTTTTTTATGGTTGATAACATTAATTAATCCCCTAACTTTCCTAAATAGCTCAGAAGGAGGGATTTATCCAGCTAAATCGGATAATTTTGTATTGTTTTCTCAGGATACAGATTTTGTTTGACCTCAACACAAACGTTAAAAGTTTAAATTAATTGTAAAGAAAAGTTAAAATTAGCTGGCATTTAAAACTGTGAAGAAATAGTCAGACGGGTCAAATTTAACATCGCTGTCTGCCTCTAGAGAGAAATGTTTAGGGGAACTCAGAGAAGTTTGTTCATTTATTAGTTTTGTTTTTTGTACGTGGAGTCAAACATCCCCAGAGTTTAAAGGATAAAAGAAATGATGTCTGTATGATAAAACTATATGTTATACATTTTTTTTTATTATTATTATTACAACTTCTAGTAGACAAAATTACAAACAGGGAGAGGCACTTATCTTACAAAAGATTAACAACAAGATCAGATAAAGCTTAATAAGGCAATCCAAGTATAACAATTGTAATTAATAATTTACAGGTTAAACATGGACCTGATTTATATTTTTACATCATCACAAATAATGCCAATTATGGGACTTTCTTTTATACAATTCATATATGAGGAACATATTTTAGTTATTTTTAAAACTAAGTTCACTAGACCTAAGAAAGTAGAGATCAGCCCGGCCCTGAAGTCACTGGCTCCCTGTAGCTCAGAGATAGACTCTAAAATCCATTAGTCTATAAATCACTAAATAGATCAGCACATCAATACGCAACAGATTTGCTGTCAGTGTGTTGACCTCACAGACCACTCAGGTCTTGTAGCTCCAGCCTACTCTGGACACCATGCTGGTGAAGATGTTGTCATTCAGGTCATAGTCATTCCAAAAAAGTAAAAAAAAAACAATCCACTGGACTCGGTTTCCAAGTTTGAAGATGTTTCGCTTCCCATCCAAGAAGCGTTTTTAATTCATAATGTCAGCCTTAAGGCCTGGTTATCCTCCAGCAGCAGTGTGTCACAGTGAGCTTGTGTCAGATATTTTTGATTTATGCCCAATTTTGAAGCGTGGGCTGCGCAATGTTATTCCACGCCACAACACAAGAGGGGCAATCAGAAACTAGCTGTGGGTCTAGATACGGCCGAGGCTGTGAGGAAGTGGGGGCAAGTTTGTGCGACAACAGAGAGTCCAACAAAGAGTCTAGCTGGTCCAACTTCAAGAGTCGTTTTCCACAATGGCGGTCATACAAACAAAACAAGCCGGTAAGGTACCGAACAGGAAATACGCACAGTGTAGAGCGGATGTAGATTTGACCAATCAGAGGCCTCCTGTCACCTACAATTTTGGAGAGGTGCACCAGAGTGTCTGCGAAAGGGGCGGGGGAATATTTGCACTAACTGCAATACACACGCAGACGACCTGGTTTCTGACTAAAACAGCCTTAAGCATTGAGTTCGAAGTTTTATATAGTAAACCAAAAATTTGTTTTGGCTTAGAAAATATGCAAATTGGACCAGAAGAACAGCTCCGCCCCTTAGGAATGGGGAGACGTTTTGGGTTCTTTGTTAGCCTGCAATACCCGATACTGGGCTATGCCTCTGAAAGGGGGGTCATTACGGGCAATTCTTGGCTTTCCTGGCGAAATGTTTTGTCCCCTGTGTGGCGGTGGAAATGATAGCAGGAAGGAGTCAGTTATATGACTGAGTCCAGCCCCTCTGGTTAAGGTTGTTTTCTTATTCTTAACGTAAATGGCTTCCTTCATGCCCCTCTCAAACCACCTGTCTTCTTTGTCCAAAATGTGAACATTCTGGTCCTCACATTAGTGTCCCTTGACCTTAAGGTGGAAGGGGGTGGCAGAGTCCTGTCCAGAGGAGGTCACTCTTCTGTGTCGAGCCGTGCGTCTGTGGAGAGGTTGTTTGGTTCCTCCAATATGAAGATCAGAGGATTCCTCACTGCCCTAAAAACTGCAGACAGCACTCCAATCTTAGGTCTGGGGGTTTCGTCTTTAGGATGCACTAGTCTCTGTTTAAGGGTCAGTATCGAGTATTGCAGGCTGACAAAGAACCCAAAACAACGCCCCATTCCTAAGGGGTGGACCTGTTCTACTGATTCAGTTTGCAAGTTTTATAAGCCAAAATAAGTTTTTGGGTTAATATATAAAGCTTCAAATTCAACGCTTATTCTTACATTTTGAATTTAAAAAGCTTCCTGAATGGGAGGCAAAATGTCTTCAAAATTGGAAACCAAGTATGTAATATTATGTACATCCAGAACTAGAACCAAACGGAGAAGCAGCATTTAGTTCCTATGCTCCGCTTATCTGTAACAAACTCCTAGAAGACTTTAAAAGTGCTGAAAGCCTGAGTTCATTTGAATCAAAGTTAAGAGCTGTCTTTGACTGCTGCAGTGAAGCTCTTTATTGTGCTATCTTTAGTTTAAGGTTTTGATCCAACCATCTTATTTGTTTTTGTACCTGATTTTATCATATTTTTATCTCTACTTGCCTTTATTCTGTTTTTATTTCAGTTCTATTTTAATGTTTAATTCATGTAAAATCCTTGTACTGTATTGAGGTATATTAAGTTTCTCAGTTCAAATGAAACTGTATGTATTTTTGATTTAACAAGGGAAAAAAAAGAAATGAACTTCTTCTCATAATAATTGAAATTATGTTTAGTTTTAAAGTATCAACATTTATATTGATACTTTATTTATGTAATTATTGTTAGAATCTCCTAAAGATGAAGCACTTTGCTGCTAACTGGAGGCTGGAGTGTGAATAAGAGCTGGTTGTGAGTTTATGGTGTGAAGTTGTCGTTGAAAAGTGGTTAAAAGTAAGCAGTAAATAAGCAATTTCTTTTATTTTGGGGTAAAATGTCTCTATTTTATACTATGAACACGGCAGTTACACTGTAAACTGGAGCTTTTATGGAACAGTTATAATTACATTAAAATGTTCAAGGGGGCTTTATTGCTGCAGCTATTGCAAAAAGTTGGACGTTATTTCGACATATTTGACCAATCATTATGCAAGCTTCTGCCTGACTTTATGTTGCAGGAATGCTGAGAAACGCACAATCTCAGTTAAAGGTTATCTGTTCCCTTTTGGTGCAAAAGGGAGGATTTTTAAATCAATGAACATAGTTTTTTTTTCTTCCAATAAAGACTTTTTATTGTTTACCTCAAGAAACAGAAACAGATGTTATCTTCATCAAAGGCCTTCATGGGTAATTTCTAAATACTGCTTTCAGATTTGATCTGCTTGACAAAATGGCTGCATCGGCTGACTGGAAGGTTTTTATAAAAGCTTGGAAGTTTCGAAGTATTAAAAAGAAATATTCTCCTTTTTTTCTTTCCAAACCGGTCTGCAGCTCTATAAATAAAACTTTATTTATAAAAGCATTTTAAATTTTTAACCAAGGGTTGCTTACCGGAGGGGCTCCGGAAATTAATTAAATTTTAAGGTTTTTTACCACCCGGTTTCTTTTTTTTGGGTTGGGGGGAGGGAATTGGGGGCCGTTGTTTTGGACGGTTTTGTTTTTAAGGTTTATTACTTGCCTTGGGTTGAAGGTTTTTTTTTGAAATTGGCTTCAAGGTGGGGGGGTTGTTGGCTTTTGTTTTTTATGATCTGTGGGGAAAATTGGGCCAAAAGTAGCAACAAAGAAGAAAATGTAACCTTTGTTTTGCTCACTGTCAGACAGAAAACACAGATAAACATTTTTACTTAGATTCTGATTTGTATTTTAGAGGATTCCTTTCACCGGATCCATCCATGGAGGCCTGCAGGAGGGCAAGTCGATCATCATCAGCGGACGAGTCCTTCCTGGAGTAGACCGGTTGGTAACTTTTCAGAGAAGCAACTTCATTCTTTATTTTAAAAAATGTCTGCACCCTACGTGCCCATAGTGGCGTCATCACATATCATTCCTCCCACCAGATTCAAACAGCTTCTCTAATGTTTGTAAAAAATCTGCTGTTTTTTTGCCTAAATTTGAACAGAAATTTGAACCGTTTCTAAAACCACCATAATCGGTCCCACATTTCATAAAATCTGCTGTGTTTTTACTCCTCAGGTTCCATGTGAACTTGCAGTGTGGTTCCAGTCAAGGGACGAACATCGCCTTTCATTTCAACCCACGTTATAATGAAGGCCAGCCTTACGTGGTCACCAACACCTTCCAGTACGGTAACTGGGGCTCAGAAGAGAGGAAGCTTAGCTCGCCTCTCCCCCCTGGCTATAACTTCACCCTGCAGATCACCGTTACACGGGATTTCTACCAGGTTGGCATCATCACCCAGTTCTTAAACAAAAAAAAAAACAACAACTTGGTTTGGAAAAGAAAGTCTGCACAGATTTCCATTTATCATTGCTTCCAAAAATGTCACTGGTTGCTATGGTGATTACCTCCTCTTTCCCCGAAGAGAATAGAAGAGGGAAGTCTTAAACTGAAGGTCAATGTGTGAAAACTTTTTATAGCCAGGGAGTTAAAGGGTTAAATATCAAAGTTCTCTATTTTAAAGGATCATATATTTTCAGACTTAATCAAACCCTGACATTTTATTGGAAAATTATCTCAAAGAATCATCAAACTAAAATGTTATTGTGTGAAAACTGTTGAAAGGCCATGAAGATGATCAGCAAGTCCAGCTTCCTGGTTGCCCTTTACATTTTTAGTAATTTTTCTTTAGAGAAAGTCAAGTGGAGCTATTATTAAAAATTCCTCTTACCTTTGAATGAATCCAATAAAAGTATCACAGCTTAATGTCACAAAATAATATTCACAACACTATGAGAAGAACTAGAAGATCATTGTTAATAAAGTTTGTTCCCCACTGCTGGTAAAACAAGAAATGGTTAAAAAAAACTGATATCAGTTAATTACGATTTTATAAAACAACCTGTGGAGAAATTGCTTTTTTTTAAATCCTTCTAGGTGAGCGTAAACGGCAGCCACTTCACGGATTACAGACATCGTATCCCGTTCCAGCAGGTTGACACCATATCAGTCGCTGGAAAAGTGGAAGTTTCCTTTATATCATTTTCAAACCCTAATGTGAGTTAAAAAAAAAATCTGATTGACTGTCTGTAACAGAACGTTGAATAAGTTGGAGTTTTAGGGACTAATAGGACAAATCCTCAGACTGATTATTTTCTGCTCTGCGGGAATTTCCTCAGCAAGGTTTTCCCACCCAGCCTGGTTTTCCATCCTATCCGGGGTTTCCTCCTCAGCCTGGATTCACACCCCAGCCAGGATTTCCTCCTGCAATGCCGGTGAGTAAAAATCATCTTCAGTTCCAGTGGTTTTAATCCTCAGAGGTCTGAGTTGTCATTTATTTCCATCTGAACACCAGATCATCTGTAGTCTCTTCTCTCTATTTGCACAGGTTGTTCCATATAACAACTACATCAGTGGCGGAATCCAGCCAGGCAGAACCATCACCATTCAGGGAATCGTCCCACCCAATGCCACAAGGTAAAGAAACAGACCTTAACAGCAGAGGTTTGGTGAGAGGAAGTTGAAATACATCACTTTTCCTCCCCCTGACCCACATAAAAGGTGATACTGAATCTGTTCTTCCAGATTTATAGTGAATAGAATTTCCTGCTGAAACTTTTCATGGTCGGCTTAGTCAATTAAAGCTACAGTCCTTGTAGTACTGGCAGCTGCAGGTGACATTAGGTCAGGGGTTGGCAACCCGCGGATCCGCTGCATGAGGCCCTTTAGCACCCTTTTCAAAAAGCTTTTTTTAATTTTTGGATGGTGTGCAGGAGATCAAACAAACATTCATTATGTTTTTCAATGCTGTAAA